TAACAGGCTGAGGTCAGTTCAGGCAGCAGGCAGAGGCATGGTCGATTAACAGGCCGAGGTCAGTTCAGGCAGCAAGCAGAGGCAGAATTGATTAACAGGCTGAGGTCAGTTCAGGCAGCAGGCAGAGGCATGGTCGATTTAACAGGCTGAGGTCAGTTCAGGCAGCAGGCAGAGGCATGGTCGATTTAACAGGCTGAGGTCAGTTCAGGCAGCAGGCAGAGGCAGAATCGATTAACAGGCTGAGGTCAGTTCAGGCAGAGGCAGAATCGATTAACAGGCTGAGGTCAGTTCAGGCAGCAGGCAGAGGCATGGTCGATTAACAGGCCGAGGTCAATTCAGGCAGAGGCAGAGGCATGGTCGATTAACAGGCCGAGGTCAGTTCAGATGGAAAGCAGGAAAATGAATACAGGCAGAAACGTGGCAGGGAAATAGCAGGTAGGAGGACAAACAGAAATATCTTCACCATACTTCACTAATAATGTAGTGCGGTATGGTAGATACGTAAGCAATCTCCTATACAGAGACCAGGCTTTGAGGGACACTGGGGACAATAGTATCGGGTGTCACGTCGAATTCTATGTTTGGAGCATACACAACATTTTTTTTGAGGATGGCGGTCTGCTTGGGTAGTAGGGATGATATTGGGGAAATATCTTTCATGCAATCTGCTCACTGCATCAGAGCGAATTTGTTCAGGTACGGGTCTTCCTTGATAGATGAGGGATGTGATAATCTCTTCCTGATATTGTAAGAAGGTGACAGGTCTTTGTGTGGACTTCTGGTAAACGATGTAGGAATTGTACAGGGCCATATGTAAAAGGTAGAAGGATACTTTTTTATACCAGTGGATTGATCTTCTGTTAGGTATGTAGGGCTGTAGCATTTGATCATTTAAATCTACTCCCCCCATGAACAGGTTGTATTCGTGTATGCATTGAGGTTTTCGGATGGTACCGCGTCTTCCTTGAATTTCCAATGAGCTGCTGTTATGGATAGATGAAAGGACATAAACATCCCGTTTGTCTCACCACTTAAGGGCCAGGATCTCTTCATTTTGCAAGCTAGCTGACTCGCCCCTGTTTAGCTTGGTGGCAACCAATTGTTGTGGAAAGCCCTTCCGATTGGGTCGAGCTGTGCCACAGGCTACAATGTCCTTGAGATAAAGGTGGCGGAAAAGGAGCAGACTTGTGTAGAAATTGTCCACGTAAAGGTGGTACCCCTGGTTGAAGAGGGGGTATACCAGGTCCCAGACAATTTTTCCACTAATCCCCATATAAGCTGGGCATTCAGGGGGCTCTAGCTGACTGTCCTTTCCTTCGTAGATACGGAACTTGTGCACGTATCCTGTGGACCTTTCGCAGAGTTTGTTCATTTTCACACCATATCTAGCCCGTTTGCTTGGAATGTACTGTTTTATGATCAGCCTCCCAGTGAAATGGATTAGGGATTCATCGACACAGATGTTTTTTTCAGGACAAATATATTTCTGAAAATCTTTGGTTGAAATAATTGATCAGTGGCCGAATTTTATAAAGTTTGTCATACTCGGGGTGTGATCTCTGGGGGGGCACATGGAATTATCGTTGAAATGTAGAAAGTGCATTATTGTTCTATAGCGGGTCCTGGACATAGTGGCAGAAAAGAGCGGCATGTGATGAATGGGATTTGTTGACCAATAAGCATGTAATTCATTTTTTTTTTGTTAGTCCCATATTAAATGCAAGGCCGAGAAACACTTCAAATTCTTCAACTGTGAGGCATTTCCACTCAAATGGACGGGCATAAAAGGAGTTGGGATTTTGGGTGATGATAAATTGCTGGGCAAAAAGATTGCATTGGTGCACAACTGAATTCAAAAAATCTTCAGTGAAAAATAAATGGAAAAAATCAATGGCTGTAAAATTTTGAGTTTCTACCTGAATGCCTGACTGGGCTATGAATGGGGGAATTATAGGTGCTCGTGATCCTGTAGGTAGCCACACAGGGTTTAAAAGTGCATCTGGGACAGCAGTATGGACCCTTGGTTGCTGACGTGACACCCGAGTACTAGTACTTGCACTTACACTGCTGGTACTAGCCATGTCAGAGGAAGGTATTGAGCTGCTGGTGGTTGCTTGCTGGTCCTTGGAGCTCCTCATTCTTTTTGTTGGAACACCTTCTTCTGATTCAGAGAGTGAACCGCTGCTGTGTACTGGTTCATATACAGAATCTGAGTCTGACAGAGAGAGCTCTCTGTCACTCTCATCTGTCATACTCAGAATTTGAAATGCCTCCTCGCTTGAATATAATCTTTTGGCCATATTTTTGGCACTGTGATCAGGAACTACTGGAATGGCGGTGATCAGGATGATGGTGCTGGTGTACAGTGGTCTGATGTTACTGTAGTGAGGGACAGATGGCTGTCTGCGGTTGGTTTACACAAGATGCTGTTGGGCAAAGATCAGAGATACCGTGAGCTGGCAGGCAATGTTTTGTGAGTGTGTGTGTAAACTGTGTGCAAAGACTAAAAAGTACTCACAGTTTGCTGTAATGGCTCTCAGGTGATCAGGACTGGTATGGTGGTGATCAGGACCCGTGGGTTTGGCAGCGATCAGGATCCAATGATGTGGCGGCGATCAGAACCCGCTGGTATGGCGGGGATCAGGACCCACTAGTTTGGTGGTGATCAGGATCTGCGGGGGTGGTGATCAGGACCTGCTGGTATGGCTGTGATCAGGATCTGCTAGTGTGGCGGCGATCAGGACCCGCTGGTATAGCTGTGATTGGGACCTGCAGGTGTGGCAGTGATCAAGACTTGGTGGTATGATGATCAGGATCTGGTAGTGTGGAGGTGATCAAGACCTGCTGGTGTGGAGATCAGGGACACTGGGACGCTATGCAGTGATCAGGGACACAGCTGGGCCGCTGTGTGGCGATCAGGGACACTGGCGATCAGGGACACTGACAATCAGGGACACTGACAATCAGGGACACTGATTATCAAGGACACTGACGATCAAGGACACTTGTAATCAGGGACACTTGTGATCAGGGACACTTGTGATCAGAGACACTGACGATCAGGGACACTGACGATCAGGGACACTGACGATCAGGGACACTGGCGATCAGGGACACTGGCGATCAGGGACACTGACGATCAGGAACACTTGTGATCAGACGACACACTGACTATCAGGGACACTTGTCAGACACTGACGATCAGGGACACTTGTGATCAGGGACACTGACGATCAGGGACACTGTGATCAGGGACACTTGTGATCAGGGACACTGACGATCAGGGACACTGACGATCAGGGACACTTGTGATCAGATCAGGGACACTTGTGATCAGGGACACTGACGATCAGGGACACTTGTGATCAGGGACACTGGCGATCAGAGACACTGGCGATCAGGGACACTGGCGATCAGGGACACTGACGATCAGGGACACTTGTGATCAGAGACACTGACGATCAGGGACACTTGTGATCAGGGACACTGACGGTCAGGGACACTGGCGATCAGAGACACTGGCGATCAGAGACACTGACGATCAGGGACACTGGCGATCAGAGACACTGGCGATCAGGGACACTTGTGATCAGGGACACTGACGATCAGGGACACTGATCAGGGACACTGACGATCAGGGACACTGGCGATCAGGGACACTGGCGATCAGGGACACTGACGATCAGGGACACTGGCGATCAGGGACACTGGCGATCAGGGACACTGGCGATCAGGGATCAGGGACACTGGCGATCAGGGACACTGGCGATCAGGGACACTGGCGATCAGGGACACTGGCGATCAGGGACACTGGCGATCAGAGACACTGGCGATCAGGGACACTGGCGATCAGAGACACTGGCGATCAGGGACACTGACGATCAGGGACACTGACGATCAGGGACACTGGTCAGGGACACTGACGATCAGGGACACTGACGATCAGGGACACACTGGTCACTGACAATTGACGATCAGGGACACTTTTGATCAAGGACACTTGTGGTCAGGGACAGACAATCAGGGACACTTGTGGTCAGGGACAGACAGTCAGGGACACTTGTGGTCATGGACAGTCAGGGACACTTGTGATCAGGGACAGACAGTCAGGGACACGTGATCAGGGACAATCAGGGACACTGTGATCAGGGACAATTAGGGACACTTGCGATCAGGCTTGCTCTTGCTCAGGCTATCCGGCTTCTTCTCTCACAGACAGAACTCCGTGTGAGGAGAAGGAGCCGGAAGCCGCACCATGCGGCTTCTGTTTACAGTTAATTGGTCACATGGTACAGGACGATTTCATTGGTCCTGTACCATGTTACCTGATCCCCTGTATCTGAGGGACCCGGCGATCTCTGGGCACGCGCGTGCGCGGTCAAGGGGGCGGAAGCCGCACCATGCGGCTTCTATTTACATTAGGACTGTGTCCTTATTGGACACAGTCGGTCACATGGTACAGGACGGTCCTGTACCACGTCAGGTGATCGCCAGTATCCGAGGGACACGGCGATCACCGGGCTCACGGGTGCGCGCTCTAGGAGCCGTGCATGAGCCTCGGATGCGGGCAGCCGTTTATAAACGGCCACCCGACCCTGCACTGCCACCGTCCGGCCGTTTATATACAACGGCCGGTCGGGAAGTGGTTAAAAACTGAATGGGTTATTTTACAAGGAGAGGTGTGACAGACTCAACCATGGCAGGGGCTTTTGGAGGGGACTATGGGCTAGCCTTCTACCCTATGATTATGGTCCATGGAGGAGACCGGGGATTCTGTTTGCTTCAGAGCATGGAGGAGAGCCAGGTCATATAGCCTTTTGACTGGCCAGGGCTATCTACTTGGATTATGTATCCAGGAAGTCCCCAGAACAGTGGTACATCTGCAGGAACATTGTGTCGGACAGATCGTGCAGATTCACTGTCAGGAATGGACTTGCCAGTAATGGTGGGATTCACCTGCCTTGTGGGCTGCAGTACCAGGGCTGGCCAGCGGGTGCTCCCAGCAATCAGAGACTCAACCCTGCAGCCAGCCAAACACCTGAAGTTGATCATGCAGGTGTATTTAACCGTTTCAATACCGTGCAATTTTACACCTTCCTGCCCATGCCATTTTTCAGGTTTCAGCGCTCTCACACATTGAATGACAATTGCGCGGTCATACAACATTGTACCCAAACTAAAATTTTATCATTTTTCTTCACACAACTAGAGCTTTCTTTTGGTGGTATTCAATCACCGCTGGGGTTTTTATTTTTTGCTAAATTAACAAAAAAAGACCAAAAATTATGAAAAAAAAAACACATTTTTCTTTGTTTCTGTTATAAAAGTTTACAAATAAATAATTGTTCTTCATAAATTTAGGCCGAGATGTATTCTGCTACATGTCTTTGGTGAAAATAACCCAAATTAGGATGTATTATTTAGTTTTTAGGAAAGTTATAGAGTTCACAAACTATGGTATAGATCTGAATTTTGATCAATCCTGAAGTACTGACGGCCAATCTAATTTCTTGAGGTCCAAGAATGTCAGAATAGTACAGATATCCCCCAAATGACCCCTTTTTGCAGAGTAGACAGTCCGACGTATTTCATAAGAGGCATGGCGAGTTTTTTGAAGTTGTATTTTTTTGTCATAATTTTTCGGAAAATTAAAAAATTAAAAAAATTATTTTCACTATTTCTTTTTTTACATACTGTCACCAGTGCAGTACAGCGTCATCATATAAACTGGCATGGCGGTGATCAGGGACACTGACTGGTGACAGTATGAAAAAAATATATATATATTTTTTTTTTTAATTTTTTTTTTTTTTTTTATATTTAATTTTTTATTACATTTTTTTTTTTTTTTTTTTTTTTTTTCATATTTTACTATGACCAAAGTAGTACAATGTTACCATAGTAACATTGTACTACTTTGGGGAAGTGATCAGTATTTTTTTTTTTTTTTTTTTTTACACAATTTGCTTATAGCAAAGAATTACTTTGCTATAAGCAAGCATTTACCTGAATGAAATCGATTCATTCAGGTTTTTTTTTTTTTTGTGCTTAGCTGTGATTTGGTCACAGCTAATCACATGACATGTGCATGTGATTAGCTATGACCATTCACAGCTAGGCACTAGTATACAATGGATGGCATCATGAATGAAGCCATCCATTGTATACAACTGTCATGTGACCTGCTGTGATTGGTCACAGCAGGTCACATGGTACCAGCAACAGGAGCCGGTACTCGGATCTGTCATCGGCAGTGTCCGAGGTGCACGGCCGGTGACAGATCGCACCGCTGCGCCGCTCTGCATTAGCGCAAACGGCGCATGTGCGGCAGCACGCCAAATGGCGTGCACCCGGAATGCAGGGACACATCTGAAGCCGCCAAACGGCCATTGGCCGGGGGCTAATGGTTAAGGGATGGCCAGACCTGCAGTCTCTGCCTTGGTGTGTGTTTTTCCTGGGCCCTGTATCTTGTTCCTGCATCCCCTGTTCCTGTTTCTGTCTGATTCGTTGCTGACCCTGCCTGATCCGGACCTCTGCTTACTTCTCCTGTTTTATCCCTGGCTTGTGACCCCGACCATTCTCTGCCTGACCCCCTGTACCTACCTGCCCGATTGTTATTGACCCGGCCTGCCTGACGACGCTTGCATTGTATGTACTGTTATCTGTGGGTGGTTTGGTTTGGTTCGTTTGCACTGTGTTATGTTTTAGTATTGCACAGCGTTTATGTTTGTATTGTTAGTCTTTAATAAATTATATTGTTTATAACTTATCTGAAGCCTGCGTTTCCCTGCGTCAGTCACATACCTCTGGTCACACCCCGGAGCCCTGACATCCACCTTCACCACCTGGGGATATGGAACTCTTTTTGGGCATATTTCATATTTTGCCCCAGCTGGTCCTCAAGAGCAATGGAGCATTTACCCATTTTGCCCCGGCTACTACCAACTGTATATTATTATATTATTATGTATATGTACTACAAACTGTATATTATTAACTTTTTATATTATTTCCGCCAATGATGTGCCACTTGGTAATCTAGATGCGAGCTGGATCAGGGGGTGGGACATTTAGAAACGAGAGTGGTGTATGTATCCAGAGACATGGCACTGTTTCTCGAGCATCCTGGTGGGCATGCTCTGGCTAGTCAAGACTTATTGTGAACATGTTTACCAGCACATAGACAAGGGAGGCAGGGTGGGGAATTCCTGTGACTACTAGCCATATTAATAAGACTTGTCTAGGTGCCTAGCAGTTAATTAGGTTAATGTTTAAAGGTTGCATTGCCATTTTTTACTGTTGTATGTCTTTACCTTATCTATGCCAATACCTCTAAGAGGGGAATGTCTTCCAGGGGGTATAAAGTATGTGTCCAGGTTTTAATAAACAGTTATTCCTTTGGTTTTATCTTAACATCTTGTTTGTGTATGATGCGTGGGGTAAAGGTAAATTAGCTATTGGTCTGCTGGAAGGAATTGGAGGGCAGGAGGCTCCCAGTCAGGGTGCTGGGCAGTCCATCACATGAGGGTTCACATATACTTTAACCACTTGCCATCCAGAGGATTTACCCCCCTTCCTTACCAGGCCTCTTTTTGCTACTCGGCGCTGCACTAACTCAACTGATAATTGCGTGGTCATGCAATGCTGCACCCAAACGAAATTTACGTCCTTTTTTCACACAAATAGAGCTTTCTTTCAGTGGTATTTGATCACCTGTGCACTTTTTTTTTATTTTTCACGCTATAAACAAAAAAAAGACCAAAAATTTTGAAGAAAAATTATATTTTTTACTTTCAGCTATAAAAAATATATAGGAAACTCAAAGTTGGTTATAAATTTAGGCTAAAATATATTCTGCAATATGTTTTTGGTAAAAAAAAATCCCAATAAGTATATATTGATTGCTTTGTGTGTTTATAGCGTCTACAATCTATGGTATAGATACTGCAATTTATGCCATTTTTTTGCTATACAGCGCTGCGCTAGTTTAATGGACAATTGCGCGGTCATGCAATACAGTACATAAATGAAATTTATGTCCTTTTTTTCACACAAATAGAGCTTTCTTGTGGTGGTATTTGATCACCTGTGCACTTTTTATTTTTGGCGCTATAAACAAAAACATTTTTGAAGAAAAAAAAACATTTTTTTTAAAAAAAAAACTATATTTTCTCATTTCGGTCATAAAAAATATCCAAAAAAAATAAAATTTTATCATAAATTTAGGCCAAAATGTATTCTGCTACATGTTTTTGGTTAAAGAAAGCCCAGTAAGTGTACATTTATTGCTTTGTGTGAAAATTTTAGCATCTACAAACTATGGCTAATGGAATTTACACAGCATTTACTTTCTGACTGCCCATCACATTTCATGAGGTGCTAAAATGCCAGGATAGTACAAACACAACCAAATGACCCCTTTTCGGAAAGTAGACACCCTAAGCTAGCTGCTGAAAGGCATATTGTGTCCATGGAAGATTTATTTTTTTTCCACAAGTTTCTGGAAAATGACAAAAACATTTTTTTTTTTTTTTAACACAAAGTTGTCATTTAAATGATTTATTTCTCGCATAAGCCATGGGTATATGTGGAATTACACCCCAAAATACATTCTGCTACTTCTACCGAGTATGAGAATACCACATGTGTGAGACATTTTGGGAGCCTAGCCACATACAGGAGCCTGAAATCCAATGACCACTTTGAAAGCCTGAAGGTGCTTAACTTCCTCATTACACTTCCTCACTACCTATCACAGTTTCGAAGGCCCTGACATGCCAGGATAGCCCCAAACCCCCCCCCCCAAATAACCCCTTTCTGGAAAGTAGACACCCCAAGAAATTTAAAAAGAGGCATGGTGAGTATTTTGCAGATCTTATTTTTCCTCACAAGGTTTTGAAATATAAAAAAAAATAGAAAAAATGTTTGTTTTTTTTTTCTTCATCTTCCAAAAACTTGTGGCAACAAATGAGATCTGAAAATACCATGCTTCTTATCAAATTCCTTGGGGTGTCTACATTCCAAAAAAGTCATTTGGGGGGGTTAGGTGCTATCCTGGCATTTCAGGGCCTCCGAAACTGTGATAGGTAGTCTGGAAGTGTAATGAGGAAATAAAGCCCTTTAAAAGCCTGAAGATTTTGGGGTCCTGTACTTGGCTAGACTGCCAAAACGTCTTTCATATGTGCTACCTCCATACTCGGGAGAAGTAGCACAATGTATTTTGGGGAGTAATTCCACATATCCCCATGGCATGTGTGAGCAGTAAATCATTTAAGTGACAATTTTGTGTAAAAAAAAAAAAAAAAAAATTTTTGTTTGTCATTTTCCAAAAACTAGTGGTAAAAAAATAAAATTCTTCTATTGATTCAACATGCCTCTCAGCAAATAGTTTGGGGTGTCTACTTTCCAAAAAGGGGTAGTTTTGGGGGGTGGGGGCGTTTTATGCCCAGCATTAGAAGTTTATGCCACACATCAGTCACTCTTCTAACCACCTGAAGATCAAGCCTTTTCTGACACTTTTTGTTCACATGAAAAAAATCAGTCTTTTTTGCTAGGAAATTAATTTAAACCCCAAACATTATATATATATTTTTTAAAGCAGACATCCTAGTGAATAAAATGGTGGGTACTACAATTTTTTTATGGCACATAGTACTCGATTTTTCAAACACAATTTTTTTTTTTTTTTAAATACACTTTTTTTACTTTTAATGCACCAAAACACAATATATTGGCCAATTATTTGGTAAAATATAAAAGATGATGGTATGCCGAGTAAACAGATACCAAACATGACATGCTTTAAAACTGAGCATGCCCCGTGCAATGGCGAAAAAACTGCATACGTTTTTAATATCCATAGGCAATGTTTAAAAGCCTTTACAAGCTACCATTTTAGATTTACAGAGGAGGTCTAGTGTTAGAATTACTGCCCTTGAACTGAAGTTCGTGGCGATATCTCACATGCATGGTGCAACTACTGTTTCCATACTGGCACAGGGTCAACGCTCATGAACGCAGGTGCGCGCATGCGCGGGGGGGCGAGGGTACTTTTTTTTTTTTAAAGTTATTTTGATTTTTTAATTATTTTTACACTGTCCTTTTAATTTTTAACTTTTTTTAACACTTTTAATGCTGTCATAGGGAATGCAAATATCCCCTATAACTTCAATGGGCATTGTCATATAAGATATTGATCTGTTCAGACACTATACTAGCAATGGAGATTTATTGTGTATGAGCGTGTTGGTGGCAATCAAGGGGGTTAAATGTGATGACTGGTGTACTGATGGGCAATCTGACGCCATCTGGGAGGGGCGTGAAAAACCACGGAAGCACAAATCATGTATATATATATGTGATTTTACGCACCTGTGCCGCCCTGTAGTAGTATTTCTGCTATAGGGCGGTCAGGAAGCGGTTACAGAAGTGGTTTGTGTTACGTCGCTGTGTTACTTTTAGAGATGAGCGAATTATTCAAAAATTCGATTCGGCTGATTCGCCGAATTTGCGGAAGAAATTCGATTCAATGCGAATTTATTCGCTGCGAATTTAACTTATTAAAAGGGTTTCTAGGCTTCAGAGAGCCTTTATATTAGTGCAGAACACTGTACCTTTAATTTAAATGCCCTTGGAGTCTGCTGGGGAAGAGAAAAATAATACTGTCAGTCAGTATGACATGCAGATGAGTGCCGTCGATCTTAGAATCACCGTACACTTCACTCATTTGGGCAGTCACGGGGCACGAAGAAGAAGAAGAAGAAAAAAGAAGAAGAAGAAGAATGAAAAAGAAGAAGAAGAAGAATGAAAAGATGAATGAAAAGAAGAAGAAGAAGAAGAAGAATGAAAAGAAGAAGAAGAAGAATGAAAAGAAGAATGAAAAGAAGAATGAAAAGAAGAAGAATGAAAAGAAGAATGAGAAGAATGAAAAGAAGAATGAGAAGAATGAAAAGAAGAAGAAGAAGAATGAAAAGAAGAATGAGAAGAAGAATGAAAAGAAGAATGAGAAGAAGAATGAAAAGAAGAATGAAAAGAAGAATGAGAAGAATGAGAAGAAGAATGAAAAGAAGAATGAAAAGAAGAATGAAAAGAAGAATGAAAAGAAGAAGAAGAAGAATGAAAAGAAGAAGAAGAAGAATGAAAAGAAGAATGAGAAGAAGAATGAAAAGAGAAGAAGAAGAATGAAAAGAAGAAGAAGAAGAAGAAGAATGAAAAGAAGAATGAGAAGAAGAATGAAAAGAAGAAGAAAAAGAATGAATGAAAGAAGAAGAAGAATGAATGAAAAGAAGAAGAAGAATGAAAAAAGAAGAAGAAGAATGAAAAGAAGAAGAAGAAGAATGAAAAGAAGAAGAAGAATGAAAAGAAGAATGAAAAGAAGAAGAAGAAGAATGAAAAGAAGAATGAAAAGAAGAAGAAGAATGAAAAGAAGAATGAAAAGAAGAATGAAAAGAAGAAGAAGAAGAATGAAAAGAAGAAGAAGAAGAATGAAAAGATGAATGAAAAGAAGAAGAAGAAGAAGAAGAAGAATGAAAAGAAGAATGAAAAGAAGAAGAATGAAAAGAAGAATGAGAAGAAGAATGAAAAGAAGAATGAGAAGAAGAATGAAAAGAAGAATGAGAAGAATGAAAAGAAGAATGAGAAGAATGAAAAGAAGAAGAAGAAGAATGAAAAGAAGAATGAGAAGAAGAATGAAAAGAAGAATGAGAAGAAGAATGAAAAGAAGAATGAAAAGAAGAATGAAAAGAAGAATGAGAAGAAGAGATGATGAGAAGAAGAATGAAAAGAAGAATGAAAAGAAGAATGAAAAGAAGAAGAAGAAGAATGAAAAGAAGAAGAAGAAGAATGAAAAGAAGAATGAGAAGAAGAATGAAAAGAAGAAGAAGAAGAATGAAAAGAAGAAGAAGAAGAAGAAGAAGAATGAAAAGAAGAATGAGAAGAAGAATGAAAAGAAGAAGAAGAAGAATGAAAAGAAGAAGAAGAATGAAAAGAAGAAGAAGAAGAATGAAAAGAAGAAGAAGAATGAAAAGAAGAATGAAAAGAAGAAGAAGAAGAATGAAAAGAAGAATGAAAAGAAGAAGAAGAATGAAAAGAAGAATGAAAAGAAGAATGAAAAGAAGAAGAAGAAGAATGAAAAGAAGAATAAGAAGAATGAAAAGAAGAATGAAAAGAAGAATGAAAAGAAGAAGAAGAAGAATGAAAAGAAGAAGAAGAAGAAGAATGAAAAGAAGAATGAGAAGAAGAATGAAAAGAAGAAGAAGAAGAATGAATGAAAAGAAGAATGAAAAGAAGAAGAAGAAGAATGAAAAGAAGAAGAAGAAGAATGAAAAGAAGAAGAAGAAGAATGAAAAGAAGAAGAAGAAGAAGAATGAAAAGAAGAAGAAGAAGAAGAATGAAAAGAAGAAGAAGAAGAAGAAGAAGAATGAAAAGAAGAAGAAGAAGAATGAAAAGAAGAAGAAGAAGAATGAAAAGAAGAAGAAGAAGAAGAATGAAAAGAAGAAGAAGAAGAAGAATGAAAAGAAGAATGAAAAGAAGAAGAAGAAGAAGAATGAAAAGAAGAAGAAGAAGAATGAAAAGAAGAAGAAGAATGAAAAGAAGAATGAGAAGAATGAAAAGATGAAAAGAAGAAGAAGAAGAAGAATGAAAAGAAGAATGAAAAGAAGAATGAAAAGAAGAAGAAGAATGAAAAGAAGAATGAAAAGAAGAAGAAGAAGAATGAAAAGAAGAAGAAGAATGAAAAGAAGAAGAAT